AAAAGACGTGATCCGGGCAGCTTTATCATTCCATGTTCGATTGGAAACAAATTTGTTGGAAAAGCACTGTGTGACCTTGGCTCAAGTGTAAACTTGATGCCTAAGTCGATTTTCGTAAAACTGGGGATAGGAAATGCGAGACCTACTTCAGTCATCTTGCAACTTGCCGATCGTTCACATGTGCGTCCAGAAGGGCGGATTGAAGATGTCATCGTGAGGGTTGACAAGTTCATTTTCCCTGTCGATTTTATGATTCTGGACTGTGAGGTCGACGCCACAGCTCCCCTTATATTGGGGAGACCTTTCCTAGCCACCGGTCGTATTCTCATCGATTGCGAGAAGGGCGAGCTAACCATGCGAGTGGCCGATCAACAGATCACTGTTAATGTTTTCCGATCTCTCAAACACATGGATGATTATGAAGAATGTCAGAGCATTTTTGAGGTAGACATTGAAATTACAAAAGAGGCAGATCAATTTTGCCACGACAATTTCATTCAGCTAGATATTGATGAGAGGCTCCTTGAATAGCAGAATGACTTTTCATCCGAGGAATAGCAGGCTAGCTTCCTTAAAGATAGCCCAGGTACGCGCTTTGAACCTTTGAATTTCGAAGAGTTTGTTCCTCCTAAGCCCTCATTACAGCATGCACCTACCCTTGAACTTAAAAATTTGCCACAACATCTTAAATATGCTTATCTGGGTAGTAATGACACTTTGCCTGTGATTATTTCCTCTGCCCTTACTCCTAACCAAGAATCTAGTTTGTTAAGTGTCTTGTCACAGCATAAGAAAGCATTAGGGTGGACGATGGAAGATCTCAAGGGAATAAGTCCAACAGTCTGCATGCACAAAATTTTGCTAGAAGAATGCCACGGAAAATCCATAGAGCCACAACGAAGATTAAATCCAATCATGAAGCACGTTGTGATGAAAGAGGTTCTCAAATGGCTTGATGCTGGAGTGATATACCCTATTTCGGAAAGTTCGTGGGTCAGTCCCGTCCAATGCGTGCCTAAAAAGGGAGGCATGACCGTGGTAACGAGTGAAGGAAATGACTTAATACCTACTCGTACTGTCACTGGATGGCGCATCTGCATGGACTACCGCATGCTTAACAAGGCCACCAAGAAGGATCATTTTCCTTTGCCATTCATCGATCAAATGTTGGATCGACTTGCGGGCAGGGCATACTATTATTTCTTGGATGGCTATTCAGGGTATAATCAGATTGCCATAGCACCAGAGGACCAAGAGAAGACGACATTCACGTGCCCGTATGGCACATACGCTTTTCGAAGAATGCCTTTTGGACTCTGTAATGCCTTGGCAACTTTTCAGCGTTGCATGCAAGCCATCTTTTCTGACATGGTGGAGGATTTTTTGGAAATTTTTATGGACGATTTTTCTGTTTCCGGAGACGATTTTCAAAAATGCCTCGGTAATTTGGCAAAGGTACTGAAGCGATGCGAGGAGGCTGATCTCGTACTAAACTGGGAAAAATGCCACTTCATGGTGACTGAAGACATTGTTCTAGGACATAAAATTTCTGCAAAGGGCATTGAGGTCGACAAGGCTAAGATCGAGGTGATCGAGAAGCTTCCCCCACCAAATTCTGTCAAGGACATTCGGAGTTTCCTTGGCCACGCTGGTTTTTACAGACGATTCATCAAGGACTTTTCCACACTATCCAAGCCTTTGTGCACCTTGCTGCAACAGAACCAACCCTTTGTGTTCGATCAGAAATGCCATGGCGCATTCAAAGAGCTGAAGCAGAAACTTATCTCTGCACCAATTGTAGTTCCCCCAGATTGGACGGCCCCATTTGAATTAATGTGTGATGCAAGTGATTTTGCCGTGGGAGCTGTGCTTGGGCAGCGTAAAGGTAAAATCTTTCATGTCATATATTATGCTAGAGACGTACCTTAAATGATGCACAATTAAATTACACAACCACTGAGAAAGAATTACTTGCCGTGGTATTTGCATTTGACAAATTTAGGCCATACTTGATAGGCACCAAGGTTATAGTTCACACTGATCATTCAGCTATAAAATATTTAGTGAACAAGAAAGATGCCAAGCCTAGACTGATCAGGTGGATATTACTTCTGCAAGAATTCGACTTAGAGGTAATTGATAGGAAAGGTACTGAAAATCAGGTTGCAGACCACTTATCTAGGCTAGAAAATATTTCAGAATGCCATGACATTTTTGATATTAAAGAAGAATTCCCTGACGAGAAAATTTTATATGTCACGGCAATTCCGTGGTACGCTGACCTGGTTAACTTTCTTGTTAGTGGTGTTTTTCCTTATGAACTGAATAGCCAGGGCAAAAAGAGGTTTCTTCATGATGCCAAGTTCTACTTTTGGGACGAGCCGTACTTATTCAAGCAATGTGATGATCAAATGATTCGACGGTGTGTCCCCGAAGAAGAACAAAGCGATATCTTACACCATTGCCACACATCAACTTGTGGAGGGCATTTTGGAGGTTCGAGGACTGCTGCAAAGGTCCTCCAGTCAGGTTTTTATTGGCCATCATTATTTAAAGATGCCCACGCATTTTGCAAGGCATGCGACAGATGCCAGCGCACTGGAAATATTTCCAGACGACACGAAATGCCGCTGCAAAATATTCTGGAGATTGAGCTCTTTGATGTTTGGGGCATCGATTTCATGGGACCATTCCCATCTTCCTTTGGAGATTTTATACATCTTGCTAGCGGTGGATTACGTTTCAAAGTGGGTTGAAGCAATTGCTACGCCGAGAAACGACTCAAAGACTGTGCTCAAGTTCCTTCATAAGAACATTTTCACTCGTTTTGGAGTCCCAAGAGCTATTATCAGCGATGAGGGCACTCACTTTGACAACAAGTTGATTGCCAAGGCATTACAGAAATATGGAGTACGACATAAGATTGCCACGGCATATCATCCATAGACGAATGGACAGGCTGAAATCTCCAATCGAGAAGTTAAGCAAATCCTGGAGAAGGTGGTTAACCCCCGAAGGAAAGATTGGTCCCCAAAGCTTGACGAAGCATTATGGGCATATAGGACAGCATTCAAAACGCCTTTAGGAATGTCGCCCTTTAAGATGGTATATGGAAAAGCCTACCACCTCCCTATTGAACTAGAGCACAAGGCGTACTGGGAAATCAAAAAAGTTAAACTTTGACGAGCAAATTGCTGGGGAGAAACGATTACTTGATCTAAATGAAATAGAAGAGTTTCGAGTGCAAGCATATGAAAATGCCAAGCTCTGAAAGGAAAAAACCAAAAAGTGGCACGACAGAATGCTTTTGCCACGGCAATTTCATATGGGTCAGAAAGTACTGTTGTTCAATTCTAGGCTCAAGCTCTTCCCAGGCAAATTAAAGTCACGCTGGTCTGGACCATTTGAAGTTCACCATGTTTACCCTTATGGTGCTGTTGATATCAAGAACCTGGACGATGGATCCATCTTTAAAGTCAATGGCCAGCGCCTAAAGGCTTATCAAGGAGTCCCACCTGCACGTGACAAGTCGGCGTTGCTCTTGCAAGACGTTGACACTGGTCCGGCATCTTAAGGATGCCGTGGCATTTTTAACTTACATCTGTACATAAATTATTTTTGTTTTGCCTTTATTTTAATATTTCTCATTATTCAGTAATTATTTTCATTTCATATTTTTGCCAGGGAATCCCACGCACTAAGCACGTGAGGCGTGTTGACGAAGTTGAGAACACTTTGGGCGGCAAAATGAAAAGGAAAAAGGAGGGAAATTTTATTTTGACTTTTGACTCAGGAATGAATTTTTTTCATTTTGTTTTCTTTCCCGCCCTACCCCACCGCTTATCTATTTCCCCCCCCAAAATATTTCCATTTAACTAGCCTACCCCCACTTACTTTTCACTTTTCACTTTCTCTTTTTACTTGCACTTTCTAGTTTCCTCTTCTCCTTTCCAATTGCCATCGACCACCATAATAACCGCCTCAAAAAGCTCTATTCCTTCATTTATTTTTGCAGTCTCACGATGGTGCGCTCACGACCAGCCCCACCACCCTCACCACCACGCTTTGTCGACGAGGCTGCCAAGGAACGCTATCAAACCCTAAAGAACCGACGAGTCTTTTTCGAGTTGGACTTTGTCTTCTCCGAGGCGGAGAACGCCGATTTGGGCAGCGAAGTGTTGGACGTGGTCACTAAGCATAAGTGGCAGAAGTTTTCCAAACATCCTGCCCCTGTCAACGCCACAATAGTGAAGGAGTTTTATTCTAACATTACCGAGCCAAATCAGCATGCCGTGATGGTTCGCGGCATTTCTATTCGTTTTACTCCTACCGCTATTAACCGTTATTTTAAACTGCAGGTTGCTGATGACCACCATGCGAGCTTAACCCAAGAGGCCGACCATGAAACTTACAAAGGCATCCTGGAAGACTTGTGTCTTCCCGGTACTCAGTGGAACGGTCAGCAACTGAAACGAAAGACCGTGGATAGGGATTGACTGCTCCCCCATGTCAAACTGTGGAACCATTTCATGAAGCACAAGCTTATGCCAACCTCCCACAATACAACTGTATCATGCCAGCGGATGCTTTTGCTGCACTCTATCATCACCGGACGAACCATCGATATAGGGAATATTATCGTGGAACAGTCTCATCTATGCCTAAAGCGACATGCAAGTGCCTTGGTATTCCCAAATCTCATCACTGCTTTATGCCGAAAAAAGAAAGTTCGAGAAGAAATGTTTGATGAGATTTTGCCGAGAATTGCTGGACTCAACAAAGCGGAAATACCTATGTTGCTGGGCTACAAGGAATCTAAAGGAAAGGAACACGAGGCAACCACATCTCACGTTGCATCATCACTACATGTCAGGGCATTTTCAACTGACCTAGAGCAGGCTGTCCAGCGCACTCACCAGCATGTTGGGCAGCTGTCCGACAAACTGATGGTCTATTTTGCTTATGCCAAATGACGTGATGCCTTTCTCATCAGTGCCCTGATGGAGTTCCTCCCGCACACTAACTTTACCATTCCCCATTTTCCTGATGAGCTCGTCCCATCGTATGGAGATGCCGAGGCATCTGCAGAAGTACCTCCACCCGCCCCAGCTGCTACTCAACATTCATCGAGTAAAGACAGTCCCCAGCGAGCTGAAACAGAGGAGCCAGTGGACCCTGATCCGATCCACGCAGTTTCACCTGATGTAGACAGAGAAGCCAACCTCCAACTTACTAATTTCCTGGAGACTGCCCCATTTGTTGAACCGTTCGCAGAAGAACATCCAGCAATGCCACCACCTGATGTACCGATGGAAGCAGCCAACCCCGAAGTATCACAACCTACTGAGTCAGCCGAGGAGTCACAATCGGAGATGCCACGACAAGCTCCTTTGCGTAGGAGCAGACGTCGCCTACGAAAGGCATCTCAACATCAGGAGCCCCCGCTCCCAACTGTTCAAGAAGGCCCTCGCACTCCTCCAGCTGCACCAGCTTCTGACTCCGAGCATTCCAGCCCCGCTAAGCTCCGCAAGCGCACTCACCGTGCAACTGCTGCACCACCACCATGAAGCCAAGGTACCTTGCATTGCATTGCATTCATAGCATGTAGTTTTCATTTTTCTTAGATTTAGTAAGCATTGGGGATAATGCTTCTCTCAAGTTTGGGGAAAATAGGGTTCTCGCATCATTGTATGATAGTATTAGTAAAATGAATATGCCATGACATTAGTAAATATAGAATTAGTTTTCTGGAATTAATTGAGGATGACCGATGATGAAGAATTCTTGATGGCTAGGATAGAATGTATATGACTGGTTGAGGATGATAGAACCAACTCTAGGACTTGCTTCTTTGAAACCCTTGAACACGAGTGTATGTTTTCCATGCTTGAGAAACTTAGAAATTTTTTATAAGAGAATTCTTAAATGTCGTGGCATAAAACTGTGAATGATGAAAACCCTGCATAAAAAGGAAAAAAGAAAAAAATAAATATAAATTATAAATAAATGCCTTGGCATATCTGTAGAGGAACACTCCGCTATGTCTTGGCATATGAGTGAATGAAAGTAGTCACAGGATGACTCTATCTGACTAGCTTGGGGTGAAAGGTATGCTCCCTTTCATTTAGAGTGTGGGATGGTAGAGTGATGGGCTGACTCTCCTCGTAGCAGAAGTAATCAAAGAAAACAAAGGGGAGTAGTAATTTGAAAATGTCATGGTAAATTAAGAAAGCTTGCTTAGAAAATTTTTAGGTTTGTTAAGCATGGACTGGATACAAATACGCACACACCCACACAAAGAATCTTGCCCTAGGGGACAGTACTTGATTTCTCAATTAGTCTAGCATGTTGAAGCAAAATGCTGAGGGCTGAAATTTTATCCCATAAAACTACTCTGCTTCTGAACTTGCCATGGTATTTTTGTTTTGCTTAATACTATCCATTGCTTGAGGACAAGCAATAGCTTAAGTTTGGGGGTGTGATAACTCCGTAAAAATGACACATTTTGGGACCTTTTCACTTAAGTTATTGAATGTCTAAGAGCACATTTAGGACCATTTAGATGCATTTAGGAGCATATAGTTGCATGTGGTGGAATTATGTTTTCCACGGCATTTTAATTTGTCATCAGTGCTACCTTATGGGGAAGGTGTTTGTCTAATGATGTGCAGGATTTGAGAGCAAGGAAAAGAAAAAGGAAAATGTCGTGGCATAAGGAGACTGCTGAGCATAATGAAAATACCGAGTTGGAATGGCATTTCAAGAGCACACAAAGTGAAAGAAGATATTTTCGAAGCCAGTTGTTCCCTATTTGCACGTGATCTCTGCCACGCCGCCCTGCTGCATATCTTGTCTGCTGCGGCAGGATCCTGTCGGGTGCCTAGATCAGTGTTGCCACGCCGCCCTGCTGTAGATCTTGTCTGCTGCAGTAGGATCCTGTCGGGTGCTTAGTCAACCACCCAGGCTGGACCATTGCCAGCTGTCCAGCAGGATCACTGTCAGCTCTGCCCGATCATCATGTGAATCAAGCATGATTTGGGGTATCTTTGGAATTTTTACACAAACTTTTAGGGTTTTTCTCCCCCTATAAATATATGATGAAGCCACAATGTTAAAAGACTTTGGTTCCAGCCATATTTGAGCTAAAAAGTTAGAGAGAGAGAGAGAGTTTCATCTTTCTCCGTCAATCCTACTTGTCGTGGCATTTCTCCTTGACAAGCTGAAGGGAGTGGCGTTCTGAGCATCCGAGAGGAGCCAATCCGCTAAGAGCAGCTCGTGGTGGCAGAGGGAAGCATTAGGCAGTACACGTCGAAGGCTTTTTCTTCTCCCCTTAGTACTTGTTTTCATATTTTGTTGATTGGGTTGTAAGGAACGAATGAATCTTGCTTTGTGCTTGTTGATTTCGAACCCCACCATGAACTAATCCTATTTGGTGGGAGTTCGCATGGATGTTTAAGTTTAAGTTTTAATTTTAATGAATGGTTGTTATTTCATGCTTTATTCTGTTTTGTTTGTGAGACTTAAAGCCTTAAGGTTGTAGGAGCTACGAGAGTAGCCTTTCCTTAGGAGGGTTCATGAGGTTCGAGAGAATGCCTTGGCAATTTATCTTTAGACTTCGAGAGAAGCTAGGGAGGAACTACATAAACAACGGTTCTAGGTAATAACTAGGCCTAATCCACCTTAGAGATAAGGCTAGGATTTCATTCGACTAAAAGGAGTTGGGTATAAACAATAGGTTAGATGTTAATGCTGCCGTAAAAAGGTATTGTCGAGACATATCCTATTAGCTGAACCAATAGGGTCACTGCTAGGGCTTACGCCAATCGATTTTGCCAGGGCATCTTTATTCTGTCGAGTCCCTTACTAGAGATAGCATAGGGCGCATCAGTAGACTCTGTCGGGCAGGGTAAGCATAAAAGAAACACCATTCAGAGAAATAGACTTAGGTTTTCCTTGTGACTGCCATCACTCATTTTCATTGCTGCTTGTCTTGTGAGAAAGCTAAAGTCCTACATATATTAAATCTAGTATTTGCATTTTATTTTGCCTTGACATTTCCATTTGTTTTCACGTATCACAATTTAATTTGCCACGACATATCCATCTGCTACCACACTATCACCATTCTATTATCACCACATCCATTCAATTTTGCCACTGCATTCTCATTTGTACATACCATAACTAACTTTACTCAAAGTAAAGTGTCTTGACAAACCTATTTGATTTCCCCAATTCCCTGTGGAGACGATACTCGACTTATCACTTTATTACTTGTTCGATTGTGTATACTTGCACACATATCCGCACCCATTTATAGTACTCACAAATCGTAGACAAAATGTCGTCCGGTATGCCCATAGCGCTTCATTGAGTTTTGGGGACTAGTATTTCCTTCGAGGGTTCACCACCTTCTCGAGAATATGCTTGACTTCACGGTTGGACACTTCAGCTTGCCCATTTGTTTGTGGGTGATATGTCGTGGCAATTTTATGTCGCACTCCGTATTTCTGTAATGCCTTGGCAATTAGCTTGTTATCAAAGTGGGTGCCCTCATCACTGATGATGGCTCTCGGTACTCCAAATTGAGTAAAGATGTTCTTGTGAAGGAACTTGAGCAACGTCTTAGAGTCATTCCTTGATGTGGCAATCACTTCAACCCACTTTGAGACGTAATCCACAGCAAGCAAAATGTATAAGTCTCCAAAAGAAGATGGGAACGGTCCCATGAAATCAATGCCCCAAACATCAAAGAGTTCTATCTCCAAAATATTTTGCAACGGTATTTCGTTTCGTCTGGAAATGTTTCCAGTGCGCGGGCATCTGTCGCACGCTTTACAAAATGCGTGGGCATCCTTAAATAGTGATGGCTAATAGAAGCCTGATTGAAGGACCTTTGTAGCAGTCCTTGCACCTCCAAAATGCCCTCCACAGGTTGCGGTGTGACAATGATATAAGATATCGCGTTGCTCCTCTTCGGGGACACACCGTCGAATCATTTGATCGGCACATTACTTGAACAGGTACGGCTCGTCCCAAAAATAGAACTTGGCATCATGCATAAACTTCTTCTTGCCCTGGCTGTTTAGTTCATAAGGAAAAACACCACTAACAAGAAAATTGACAAGGTCAGCGTACCACGGAATTGCCGTGGCATATAAAATTTTCTCATCATGGAATTCTTCTTTAATATCGAAAATGTCATGGCATTCCGAAATGTTCTCTAGCCTAGATAAATGATCTGCAACCTGGTTCTCAGTACCTTTCCTATCTATTACCTCTAAGTCAAATTCCTACAATAGTAATATCCACCTAATAAGTCTAGGCTTGGCATCTTTCTTGTTCACTAAATATTTTATAGCTGAGTGATCAGTGTGAACAATGACTTTGGTCCTTATCAAATATGGCCTAAACTTGTCAAATGCAAATACCACGACAAGTAATTCTTTCTCAGTGGTAGTATAGTTCAATTGTGCCTCATTCAAGGTACAACTAGCATAATATATAACATGAAAAATTTTACCTCTATGTTGCCCAAGTACAGCTCCCACGGCAAAATCACTTGCATCACACATCAATTCGAACGGTGCCGTCCAATCTGGGGGAACTACGATCGGTGTAGAGATAAGTCTTTGCTTCAGCTCTTTGAATGTGCCATGGCATTTCTGATCGAACATAAACGGCTGGTTCTGTTGCAGTAAGGTACACAAGGGTTTGGATATTGTGGAGAAGTCCTTGATAAATCGTCTATAAAATCCAGCATGTCCAAGGAAACTCCGAATGCCCTTGACAGAAGTTGGTGGGGGTAGCTTCTCAATCACCTCGATCTTTGTTTTGTCCACCTCAATGCCCTTTGCAGAAATTTTATGGCCAAGAACAATGCCACCGGACACCATAAAGTGGCATTTTTCCCAGTTTAGCATGAGATCGGCCTCATCACATCGCTTCAGTACCTTTGCCAAATTGCCGAGGCATTTTTGAAAGTCATCTCCAGAAACAGAAAAATCATCCATAAAAATTTCCAAAAAGTCCTCAACCATGTCTGAAAATATGGCTTGCATGCAGCGCTGAAAAGTTGTCGGGGTACTACAGAGTCCAAAAGGCATTCTCCGAAAAGCATAAGTGCCATAGGGACATGTGAATGTTGTCTTCTCTTGGTCCTCCGGTGCAATGACAATCTGATTGTTCCCCGAGTAACCATCCAAGAAACAATAAAATGCCTTGCCAGCAAGTCGATCCAGCATTTGATCGATGAACGGCAAAAGGAAGTGATCCGTCTTGGTGGCCTTGTTGAGCTTGCGGTAGTCCATGCAAATTCGCCACCCGGTGACTGTGCTAGTAGGTATCAATTCATTGTCCTCGCTTGTTACCACGGTCATGCCTCCTTTTTTAGGCACATATTGAACGAGACTCACCCAAGAACTATCCAAAATGGGGTAAATCACTCCAGCGTCAAGCCATTTAAGAATCTCTTTCATTACAACTTGTTTCATGATTGGGTTTAATCTTCGATGTGGCTCTATGGATTTGCCGTGGCATTCTTCTAGCAGAATTTTGTGCATGCAAA